ATGATAACAGTTCAGCAGCTTAACATTGTCATAAGACAAAATTAGACTTTCTTTTTTTTTTTTGTTTTATTTTTTTACTTCTCACTTCCAGCAAATATTGGGGTTTGTGTGCCCCACTCCCTCAAAAATCAAAAAAGCACCGCGGATAATTTCATTATACTCTCTCGGTTTCACAACTTATAATTTTCAATAAAATGTGTTTTTGAATTCTATTCAATTATTCCTAATTTCTGGACCCACGGGGGCTAACAACTACATTCTCATTTCTCAGCTCTTCTCCACTGATTCTGTTAGTGTTCAATCTTCTTGTGTTCTTCCTTATTCATTCCTGTTTTTATTTTAAGTAAATTTAATTGATGTTATTGTTATGTATCCTTGTAGTTTTCTTCTCTTAACTTAATGTATCGCAATTTTACGTCCTTTATTTTTTACTCATTAGGTTCTTGATATCCGACCAGCAAACAAAATCGTTTTTTTTCTTTTTCGTCTCCATCGATTTTTGTCTCTTAATTTTCTTTTTATTTCATCTGGTTTTTAATAGGTACTTTTTTAAAAAAAAAAAAACTTTATATACATTATATAAAAAAAGCTATAATTAAATTAGACATTGTTATTGCTTAAATTAAAAAAATAAAATTTGTTCATATGCGTTTTTTTTTTTTTTTAGCAATATAAATTTCGACCTTGTGTCGCGGTGGGTGGGGGTCATTATTCTGCTTTCTTAACTAGTATTAAAACTTTATTGGAATGTATAAATTTTCTCACATTTAAACAATTATTTCTACGAATCATTTGCTCACCGATTATCTAACTGTTGAAGCAGTTTTTTTTTTTTTTGGAATTAATTAAATCACTCACACACAACAATTCTTGTTTAAATGGGGAGATGTAAAAAAAATGTACCATTTTCAAGAGAATTTATGAAAAAATAAATCTTGTAGGTTTTGAAAACCATACAGAGACTGCTTACAAAGACTGCCTTTCAAATTCAGCATCCTTGTTGCCACAAATTCTATGGAATAAATCACATTGATTTTTTTTTTGCAAAAACTTGATTTTTTTAAAAAACATTTCATTAAATTTATCTAAACACACACACCAGAAAACAGTTTGAAAATTATTAATTAAAATTTAATTATTAATTTAAAATAAAAAAACAAAACAAAACAAAAAAACTTGTGTATTATTTTGCACAATATTTATTTACCTATTTGGCTAAAAGATGACATTGCTGCACGATTTCAGTTTTGTTATTTTATTTTGGCTTTCCCCTTTTTTGTTTGTATAAAAATTCATTCAACTTCCATTAAAAAGTAACAAAAATGCTTATTTTTATTCGCAGTTAGGCAGTTTTATTTTGGTTGAATAATCAAAACGGGATTTAACTTTTTAGTTTAGTTTATAATTTTTATCATTTTTTAACACATTTTTAATAAAAAAATAAAATGTCACAATGGATATTTTGTGACAACAAAATATTGGACTGTTTTTTTTTTTTCATTTGCGAAATTAGCTTAATATTTAAAAAAATAATTGTATATTAATAAAATTTTATTTATTTATTTTTAGACATAACCTTAAAAAAATCCAACTAATTACTAATTTTTGCACTGACTTAATAATTGGCAGAATTATTATTTTTTTTTTAACTTATGTTTTCTCTTGTTTATTTTTTTCATTCTCTGCTCTCGTCTAATATTTTATACAAAAGTTTTGTTATAAAATAAGATTTGTTGAAAGGTTAGCGACGATAATGTGCAAAGCGGTATTATCGTGTCAATCTCATCACTTGAGGAAGATTTTCGTGAATATAAACAAGATCACGTGACTGACTCCATCCGCGTGTTTCTAGGTCATATGTGTCATGTGAACTTGGTGTTTCGTTAAATCATTTATTTATTTTTTTAATTAGTTCTACTACAGCTTACTTTCTCTCTAATTTTTTCGTTTTTTTTTTAGGACTGATGTTAATTCATACATTGTCGGTCTGGTGAATCTAATGATTAATTTAATTCCCCCTCTTTTTTTTAGCCAACTCTTTTCTTGATTTCTCCTTTCTTGACGATTTCTTTCTTGAATGTTTCTGGTTCCTTCTTCTTTGAATCTTTGTTGACTCCTTCTTTCTTGACTCTTTGTTGACTCCTTCTTTCTTGAATCTTTGACTCCTTAATTCCTTTTGTTGACTCCTTCTTAATTCCTTCTTTCTTGACTCTTTCTTGAATCTTTCTGGTTCCTTTTTTCTTAACTCTTTGTTGACTCCTCATTTCTTGATTCCTTCTTTCTATCTCAACTCTCTCTTTCTTAAACTCTTTCTCTCTCTCTTGACTCTCTCTCTTGACTCTCTCTGACTCGATTCCTTTCTTTCAAGTGTATAAACAAACCAACCAAAAAAAAATGTGATCACGTAAACATTTGTTTTTATTCCGATGAAGCTGTTTATATATATTTTGCTATTGTGTAATTTTGCATTTACAGTGTGAAAAATCCTTCATAACAAGTTTAAAAAAACAAAGTTTTTTTTTTTATAACTCATGACTAAAAAAAAGAAATTGTGACAAAATGACCACACATTTTCATTAATGAATACCTTTGGTTTTTAGTAGATAACCAAATATGCATATTTTTAGAACAGCAGGTGTTATTTGTTTGTGCCCATCCAGGCTTGTTTGCAAGTAAGAATTTGCGCATTAGATTTAATTCACAATATTTTTCATGGGCAAATGATTTTTTAGGTATATTCAAGTATCTGGAAGGTGTTCATTTTCTTTCTACTAATTAGCACGTAACAGACTTTACCAGGTACTGACTTGACCAACTGGAAGAGGTGGATGCATGCTTTTCTTATGGCCATTATTGTAAAGTAATTATAAGAACTATCACAGAATTTTGGACTTTCTTTGCCTTTTACATTTTCCATGGTTTAAAGCTTTGGTACAAATAAAATAAGAAGTAAAAATACCTGTTAGTACACTGGTGACATTTGGTAATACTCTTGCATCTTAGTGAAATTATAAGTGTAATATTTTATTTAACCCCCAAGTAAAGCGATAATGCCACTAGGATGCAGGGAGTTACTGGAAATGAAATAAGATGGGAAAACTTTAGTGAGGAGAAGTGAAGATCTGATAAAAGAATAGGATTTAGGAAGACAAAAGATGATGATTGATATTTTATTTAAATTTTTGAAGATTGTGTCAAAAAAGCAAGGAACCTGAAGGGAATTTGGCAGGTGAGAAGTGCAAGAAAAGAAACTTGTAATAGAAGATATGGTTGTATTTAGCTAATTCAACAGTAAAATGGTGAGACCTAGTTGGCAACCTAGTAGCATGCTTAAATTCATGCAGTTGAGACACTAAGGTTAAAAGCTCACCAGAACAGTTGTGATGAAAATATTTGTAGAAAAGGCAGAGGGAAGCCACATTATGTCATCGAGAAAGTAACTGATGTCAAGATGCCAGATCAGGATCTATTACATTACAGACCATTCTTTGAATTTTGTCAAGACTCTTGAGATATCTGGTAAGAGCACCAGACCAGATTTAATGTTTTAACTTCTGCCCTTCTTGTTCCATGTTTTCCAGCTAACTTTAATTTGCAAAAATTTAAATGCAATGTCAATTGCTGTATACTGTCCACCTGATTGTTATCTTCTCTTTCTGCTTGTCATTAATGTTTCTGTTCCTAATTCTTCCACACCCTGTAACTCCTCATATTTTAGTGGCATTACTGCCTTGCTTGGGGTGATTCTGATTTTTAAAAAAAAAAAAAAATAATATCAATCACCTCAGAATGAATCGGTAATCGATGCAACTCTCTCTCTTTATTTATTGCTTTTCTTTTCTCCTTTTTTTGCATCTCTGTTTCCATCACTCTCTCTCTCTCTCTCAATGAGAAAACACCCACATTTTTAATGTTAGATAAATGTACTTTATTGTAGAATTTGAAAGCTGCTGATTAGGAAGATTAGTTTAGATTTTCTAATTAATTTGTGTAAATTAGTAATCAGCTAAACTTTTAATACTATTTGCACTATATCAGATCTTATTCTGCAAGTCAAAATTTTTATAATAAAATTAGTATTAACTAACTGATGTTGATATAATTTTCAGTACATATTTATATTTATATGATAAATTAACTATGTGGATTTCAATGCCTGATATCATTTTTATTAAAAATATCTGAAATAAATTATTTGGTTGTGTGTGATTTTATTCTTCAACTCAAGGGTTGTTCATCATACGGCAAATAAATATATTTAATAGAGTTATTCATAGTTTCTTTTTAATTTTTAGACATATAAAAATTTCCATGGGTCATAAAACAGATATAACCTCAAAAGAGAAACAAGATTGGCAAGATAAGGACAAGAAAAAATAGTTTTAAGAATGGTATGAAAAGAAATTTGTGAAAAATTACAAGGGTAATAATAACTAAAAAAAAATGTGACTAGATCAGCAAGAAAATATTTGGTAGAGCTAGTTTTGTGAATATAATGGCTGGCCATACATATATGAAGATGCCCATTCACTAGAGTGGCTAGCCAATCCCTGTTGCAGACACATTTGTATTTATTCAACACCCACAGAGCTCACCTGTAGTTTATACTACAACCATGCTGAGCTTACCTTAGTTACAGTTTCTGGGAGAGAGCATGTTATCTAGCATGATGAACAATTTGAACAAGGCCAGCACGCTCAAACTCTTTGTCATGATGACTTGGGATTTCATGCTAGCACAAGTATCAAGAGCTCCTAAAGAGCGTCTTCTATCCATTTTCACTCACAAGGCTTAGATAAACACTTGGTATGGTTTTCAGACACTTTCCAAAGCTGTTGTATGCTGGGCTTGTCACCTCGAAACCAATAACATCAAAAAGTCACCTTTCTGAGAAATCAACCATAATGAGATTCGAATCTGGTTCTGAAAGCGAACATTTTAACCACTCGGCCATGTACCCATGATCATAATAATTTACAAATATAAAGAGAAAGCAATGATCATAAGGATTTGCGAATATAAAGAAAGAAATGATCATAAGGATTTGCAAATATAAGAAGAGAGAAATGATCATAATGATTTGCGAATATAAAGAGAGAGAAATGATCATAATGATTTGCGAATATAAAGAGAGAGAAATGATCATAATGATTTGCGAATATAAAGAGAGAGAAATGATCATAATGATTTGCGAATATAAGGAAGGAGAAATGATCATAATGATTTGCGAATATAAAGAAGGAGAAATGATCATAATGATTTGCGAATATAAGGAAGGAGAAATGATCATAATGATTTGCGAATATAAGGAAGGAGAAATGATCATGATGATTTGCGAATATAAGGAAGGAGAAATGATCATGATGATTTGCGAATATAAAGAGAGAGAAATGATCATAAGGATTTGCGAATATAAAGAGAGAGAAATGATCATAAGGATTTGCGAATATATAGGGAGAAAGATGCAGTATATTAAGAATATTGGTTAAAGACATGAAAGTAACCAAACTATCACCTTTAACTAAACATTGCAAAAGAGAAACATAAGTTGGACAAAGTAATACATGAAAACTAATTTCTCAACTGTACTTTGTTTGGTGGTGTTTAAAGAGCTACATTGGATGAACCTGATGTCTAGGCAATTGTTGGATTCTTTATGTGAATAGACAATCAACATGAATTAGAAGACAACAGAAGGAAGACACTGCAATATGTTGTGCTACTATTGTAGGCAGTAAAATTATAAATTACTTCAAAGTTGATTATGGCATTCAAAATAAATGCAGAAAATTATTGTAAATTCTTAGACAAGGGAGAGACATGGTGGAGTAATGGATAGCAGCTCCGATTGAGGATTCGGAGAGCTGAGTTCGAATTCCAGTCAAATCCATTACATTTGCTTACATGCTAATACCCTTGGGAATGGTATGAATCCTTTTCTTCTCCCCCAGCTATGGGTAAATAGCAGGACAGTCCGGGTTCTATAGCTTTGGATGGCAACTGGTCTACTGCAGAAAGAAATGGAAACCTACTGCGGGAAGAAAAAATCTGCCTCGTCTGTCATGTATTGAAAGATAGATGATCATCTAAGCATGTATTGTGCATGGCATATAACTGACAAACTTAGACAAGATATTTTTTTAGTAGTACAAATTCAAAGAATTTTTAAGCTAAAATATATATTCATGTAAGAAAATGCAAAGCTAACTTTTGCCCACCTTGCCAAAAATAAAGGAAGGTTTCAAAATCATCACATTAATAAAATAACCCTCAGCCTTTCCAGATATTAATCTAATAGAAAACTTGATTCATCATTAAATGAAATATATATGACAATGGAAAACTATTAATATTTAAACAAAGATCATCTCTGAGAACCAATAAAAACTGCTGCTAGTAATGTTAAAGTTAAAACATGAGAAAAGTTAGCAAAATCACTGGTTGAAAAACTGATGACTGTTATAGAATGTCAAGGAGCCCATAGTAATATGAGAAATAATAAAATAATTTATTCAGACATATGGAATATTGATTAAATATGTTTCTATGGCCCAAATCCTTTGGATTGATTTATCAATAAAAATTCATGTTGCATTTGTTTGTGTAATAAAACCTGTCATTTCTACCCAAAGAAGTTATGATCAATATTTTTAATAAGGATAAACATTATAAGCTGAAACTCCCACATTTCTGAGATAAATATATCTTGAAAATATTACCAACATAAATTGGTTAATTTGTGAGAAGATTAACTTGAATAATAAAATTTGATATGACATAAAGTTAGTGCTGACCATGAAAATATTTCTATTATTTACCTGCACAGACCAATTAGATTTAGTAAAAAGAAAGGTCCAAGGTAGTGTATATACAAGTGATAGATCTATTGGTTATAGAATATAGAAAGAATATAGCAAAATAATGATAAAGGTAATGAAATGTAGGTAACATTTATTTTTTCTTTACTAGATAAGTTACTTGACCAATGTACATTGGGGTTTGATTGATTGGTTTGTTTTTTATGGCTTATCAACCCATTGAAGGTCATTTAAAACCAGAAGATATTTTTAGATTGTAAGAATTTTTTCAAGATAATGATTTACTGATACAGGTCTTACTAATTAACCCATAGCTGGGGAGCAAAGAGTTGGATTCATACCTTTCCCAAGGGTATTTGGAACTGAAACTTGGCTCTCCAATTTCCAATTCTGAGCCATTATCCATTATACCACCTGCACAGCCAAGATTAAATCACCTGGTATTCCCAAGTGGTCGTGCATCTAGTTATTGACCTGGCTTGATGTTGCTTAACTTTGATGATTTACATTGGGGATTTGGGAATGAAAATAACCTGGGTGTTGTTACAATTATGCTGAACTTTTATGCAAATCTTTTTTCAGTTAATTTAAATTTTAGTTTGTGTGTTATGTACCCAATGTTTTTTCAACATCAAAAATTTAGAAATTTACAAAAGATTAAAAAGGATTTAAGCTATTTGATAACATTTGATTACTGACAAAATTATTAATGTAATCAGATTATTAGTGGATTAATAAAAAAACCTTACTTAATTCATTTCAAAACATTATCTGTTGTTTATCATGTGGACTGCATGAAGCAATAACCATGAAAATAGGCTTTTTTCATTAGAATATTTTATGTTAATTTTTGCAAAATTTTGTTTTTGTCCAGATCCAGGTTCAATTTCTCTCTGGGATGAGTAGTTATCATTATTTATATTTACATTCCTCATCTTTGTTTCTTTCTTTCTATCTATCTATCTATCTATCTATCTATCTATCTATCAACTGATTTTGTTAATTCTATGTGATTTGTCTAAATTTAGGGGTTGAGGAGTTATTGTTTATATTATTTACATTTGAACTATTGTTGTTATTATCACAATGTTTTGTCTGTTGTGCTCTGTTTCAGGTGTCTGTAAATGTGGATAGCCTTCAGGGGATTTTGAATGGATGAATAGCCTAATGGATTAAAGTTTTGGTCCATGAATTTGAATACAGTCCCTAGAATTCAGTCGCTAGAATTATGACATCATTTAATGTCATAATATTTGAATACTGACAAAACTAAAAATACAATCAGAATATTTCATATTAGTTTTGTTTTATGTTTTGTCCATATCAGTAGTTTTTGAAAGTGTCTCTTTAACTAAATTTATAAATATATTAAACAAACTACAGATTCCATTATATTCTCGTTTGTATTTCTTGCCTATTACTCAAGTTCCATTGCCAGCACTTGTTGACATTTCGTTCTTGTCAATTCTTGACATTTAGTACAATGTAATATATGATTAAATCTGATGAATCATCTTTTCTTTTTCAAAATAATGTTATATTATTTCTTAACTTTATATGGAAAAATAGCCTAGGTTGGAGAAAACCTGTTAAAGCTTTTGTTGTGCATTGTTGATTTTCCTTCTGTTTATTGATAGTAAAATGAAAATTAGACATATGTAATGTGTATTTTTATTCAAATGAGAATGCCATGTTGATAAAATGAAGATCTAAAAACAAGGATTAAGAGCAAAAAGTATTTTTTGTTTGCTACTTGGTTTGGTTTGTTTTACAGCATATCAACCTCAATGGGTTATTTAATCCTGACAAAATTTTATTGCTGGTAATATTTTTATTTTTAAAAAATGTATTGCTGGTAATATTTTTATTATTTTGTAATTTGGTATATATATATTTTTAAATATATGGTAATATTTTTTTCCTTTAAAAATGTAGTAATATTTTTAAAAAAAATGTATTGTTGGTAATCTTTTTATTATTTAAATGTAATTTATATATATATTTTTAAATATATTGTTGGTAACTTTAAAAATGTATTCCTGGTAATATTTTAAAAAAAAATGTATTCCTGGTAATATTATTTAAATTCTCGTAATATATATATTTTTTAAATATTTGGTAATATTTTTTGCCTTTAAAAATTATTCCTGGTAATATTTTAAAAAAAAATGTATTGCTGGTAATATTTTTATTATTTAAATGTAATGCTGGTAATATATATATATTTTTTAAATATATTGCTGGTAATATTTTTTTCCTTTAAAAATGTATTCCTGGTAATATTTTAAAAAAAAAATGTATTGCTGGTAATATTTTTATTATTTAAATGTAATGCTGGTAATATATATATATTTTTTAAATATATTGCTGGTAATATTTTTTTCCTTTAAAAATGTATTCCTGGTAATATTTTTAAATATTTTATTATTTAAATGTAATGCTGGTAATATATATATATTTTTAAATATATTCTGGTAATATTTTTTTTCCTTTAAAAATGTATTCCTGGTAATATTTTAAAAAAAAAAATGTATTGCTGGTAATATTTTTATTATTTAAATGTAATGCTGGTAATATATATATATTTTTTAAATATATTGCTGGTAATATTTTTTTCCTTTAAAAATGTATTCCTGGTAATATTTTAAAAAAAAATGTACCTGTAATATTTTTATTATTTAAATGTAATGCTGGTAATATATATATATTTTTAAATATATTGCTGGTAATATTTTTTTCCTTTAAAATGTATTCCTGGTAATATTTTAAAAAAAATGTATTGCTGTAATATTTTTATTATTTAAATGTAATGCTGGTAATATATATATATTTTTAAATATAATTTTTTTTTCCTTTAAAAATGTATTCTGGTAATATTTTAAAAAAAAAATGTATTGCTGGTAATATTTTTATTATTTAAATGTAATGCTGGTAATATATATATATTTTTAAATATATGCTGGTAATATTTTTTTCCTTTAAAATGTATTCCTGGTAATATTTTAAAAAAAAAATGTATTGTTGGTAATATTTTTTTATTATTTAAATGTAATGTTGGTAATATATATATATTTTTAAATATATTGCTGGTAATATTTTTCCTTTAAAAATGTATTCCTTTAATATTTAAAAAAAAAATGTATTGCTGGTAATATTTTTATTATTTAAATGTAATGCTGGTAATATATATATATTTTTTTTATTGGTAATATTTTTTTTCCTTTAAAAATGTATTCCTTTAAATTTTAAAAAAAAATGTATTACTGGTAATATTTTTATTATTTAAATGTAATTTTAAATATATATATTTTTTAAATATGCTGGTAATATTTTTTTTTTTTAAAAATGTATTCCTATGTAATATTTTAAAAAAAAAAAATGTATTTTGGTAATATTTTTTTATTTTTAAATGTAAATATATATATATTTTTTAAATATATTGCTGGTAATATTTTTTTCCTTAAAAATGTATTCCTAGTAATATTTTAAAAAAAAATGTATTCCTGGTAATATTTTTTTTAAAAAAAAATATATTGCTGGTGATATTTTTTTCCTTCAAAAATGTATTGCTAGTAATAATTTTTTTACAAAGTATTTCTGGTATTAAAACCTATTTTTACACTTTCATAGTGTTTTGACCCCAGTTTCAGGGTTAAATATTTGCCCATAACTGGGACCCTAACAGGTGCTACCACCCTGGATCAGATTTTTTTTCAATATATGCACACATAATTTAATCAGTTCTCTTTTCTGTTATTCTCTTTCATCTTGTGTATAAAATATATTGGGTTGGTCACAAAATTTGTTTGGTTTATTAAGTAAATTTTCTAAAGATATAGATTGACAATGTCCTTTCTGTTTGTCCATTTCCTAGATTATTCAACCAAAAACACACACACACACACACACACACACACATACATATATATATATATATATATATATATATATATATATATATATATATATATATATATATACCTACGTTTGTAGTGCAATTTAAAGTTTCTTGGTTTTCCCAAGTTGTCAGGCCCGAACTGATGAATGAAACAATTGGGAAAAACATGAAACTTTAAGGTATATGTATATTTCTTACTCTACACTTCTTAGCTCTGTCTAACTACATTGAGCACTTTTGTTTACACCATATATTAAATTAAGTAAATATTTATTCGCTTATCTGTGTATGCACACTTATGCATGCATATACAGTTGCTAATATCTAATGATTTGGTTTATTTCCACACTTATATTTATTATGCAGTGTCACATTAGAACATGCACATACCCACTACAAAACTGCACCTCTTGTTTCAACGGTAAAAAGATTTTTCTAACGTTTCATCAGGTGGGAAATCACGATGCTATTAGAATATTTTATTCCGAAATGCAGTTAATGAAGCATATTAACTGCATGTTAACTGTATGTGCATGTTCTAATGTAACACTACATAATAAATATTTATTGCTCTACTTTTGTATTGAGCCCTGTTTTAAATTAATGTTTTGAACACTGAAATCTTACTCTTCGTTCTTTTACATTTGTATATATATATATATATATATGTGTGTGTGTGGGGGGGTGTTTCAGAATTTATTGTTGTTCTTTGAGAGAATAACCATAAATTGCTATCAAGGTTTGGGCAAGATGTCTACCATTAGTGTGAAAATACTCTTTGAACTGAACCCAATGACATGACCTCTACTTTCTTACCTTATCTGACAGTTTTTTATTTGGGTTTCTTTTCTTCTAGACAGTTGGTAATTGTGCTGTATATGTAAGAGCTAACAGAATTCTTGAACATTATGTTAACTCTATTGTGCAACCGACTTTGGTGTTTCTGTTTAGTTAAAAAGAAAAATTAAGTAAAAATATTTTGCACAATTATGTGAAAGCAGTAAAGTGGGTGATTATTTTTGTAAATCAGAAAGATTTTTTACTCGATTGAACAATTTTTAACTATTTGCTTAGAAACCGGTCCAACTTGTGTTAATTTTGTCTCACCTTTTTGTAGTAGCTTTGTAGCAGGACAAAGAAAAATCTTAGTTGTTACCAACTTGTCGACAGAAAACTCCATATTGTTATAAGAATATTAGATAAACAAATTTTAGGTCATAACAAGTAAAAAGTCAGACAAGTTGCTTTTGATTTTAGGATCATGGCTGACACAAGTTTAAAAGACACGTGTCACTAAGATGTGCCATTCTTTTGCTAGTTGAGGATCTCGTTCAAGGTTAGAATAACTTATGTATATTAGTATCTTCTTCTACATCATAAATGTTCTGACTGGTATATTTTTTGATCTTTACCAGATATTATTGTTCAGATTATTAATGCGTTGTCATGCATCTAACAAGCTTATGAAAATTAGAAAATTTAAACATATTATCATCAATAGTGAAAATTAAAGAATGTAGGCACAGATCCCAGTCAAGTTGGGTTGGCTAACTTAACAACATATCAACCCTTGTTGAGTGAGTTATTGTTGAATAAGTCATATAGGACAAAAATCATAATGAAATGATAGCTAGGTATATGGAGAATATCACAGACAGAGCATTTAAACAATGAGGAAGTTTTAAGGTAAATGGAACCATAAGGACACTTAGAATTAGAAAGAGACAGCTGAAAATTCTAGGACACATAATGAGAAAAGAAGGCTTGGAAAATTTGACACTTACAAAACAAAAGGCAAGAATGACAGGGAAATAAGGAGTAATTACCTAATGGACTTGTCCAAATAGATTGCAGAACAGGGAGTGGGAGGGATATTTAAAAAACACTTAAGTGCTAAAAAGGATAGGAAATTGTGGAGAGCTATGACTACCCACACCCTTGAAAGATCATGGTACATAGAAGACGACGACCTAGGTTTGATTTACAACAGATTAAAAAATTAGGTTGGGTTTCCACTGGAATAAAAAATGTAAATATAAGTTTTGTTTACACTTGTGTCAAAAAAGGTAAACATTCGTCAGATTTATAATTGTGTCTGTATGTGTCCATCTGAAAAGTGGCCTTTTTTAGAGTAGTAGGGGCTTACATTCCTATAAGGGATGGGCACCTGAAGGCAGTGTAATGGTCAGCAATCTTGACTTGTTAGAACAATTACGACTTAGTAGTGAGTTCAATCCTCATCAAGTGCACCCTACTTTCGATCTTGTGCCATATCTAAGCTACGCTTGGAAAATCGCTATATTCCTATAAGGTATGAAGTTGATGTATTCTAAGCTCCATCAACAATGCACATGGATACAGGGTGGAGAGTCCAGGGTTTCTGGACCTACTCTGGCAAATTATAATTAAAACTTAAAAAGACCATTAAATTTTATTAAAAAAATTCTAACAATTTCAAGTCATCGAAAATAAACCTTAACAAATTGTGTGGTTATATACGATAGATATCTTCATATGGATATTGATATAGATATACTGTAGATATCTTTATATGGATATTGATATAGATATACTGTAGATATCTTTGTATGGATATAGATATAGATGTACTGTAGATATCTTTGTATGGATATAGATATAGATGTACTGTAGATATCTTTGTATGGATATTGATATAGATATACGGTAGATATCTTTGTATGGATATTGATATAGATATACGGTAGATATCTTTGTATGGATATTGATATAGATATACGGTAGATATCTTTGTATGGATATTGATATAGATGTACTGTAGATATCTTTGTATGGATATTGATATAGATATACGGTAGATATCTTTGTATGGATATTGATATAGATATACGGTAGATATCTTTGTATGGATATTGATATAGATATCGGTAGATAGATTTGTATGGATATTGATTTGTACTGTAGATATCTTTGTATGGATATTGATATAGATGTACTGTAGATATCTTTGTATGGATATTGATATAGATATACGGTAGATATCTTTGTATGGATATTGATATAGATATACGGTAGATATCTTTGTATGGATATTGATATAGATATATTGTTTTTAGAATGCAAAATTAGTAAAAATATAAACACTTCATACAGCTCAGTGTATAGATGAGTTATAACAAATTTAGTATAGGTGATAATGAAACTGAACATGGAATAGGCTGCACTAGAAGTAGTTTCACCATACACCACAAATTACTACAAAACCAAAACATCAACCTGAAAACTCAAGTCTTAAATAGCCTTGTCAGATTGAGACTTACATAAGGATGTCATGCATGGCACCAAACCTGTTCAGAAATATTTAAACTGTCAGTTGTATACAACTGCTTTCTAAGATCAATGATAATAAATAGCCTTGAGTGAGTGAAACTTGTGGGTCTTGGCAAAAACAACCCTTCTTTGGACATTGTGGTCTTGTGATACAGAATCACAAAATAATTTGTTGTACCAAATAACAGATATCACATGACTTGAGGACTACCAACAGCAGCAACAACAAAAATAGATTGCGCATGTAATATAAAGAGAATTATAATGGTATAATGGAGATGTTGGCTTTCCGCACTGCTTCAAATAAAAGGTTAGGAAGGAAGCCCCCATCAAAACTGGAAAGAGTGATAAAAGCTACTGAACTTGAGAAACCTGTTTTCCTGAAAAATTATTTTAAGAGAAGATTTTATAAATTTCAACTGAAAGCAGTACTGGCTGCTCAGTCAATAAATGCTGAATGTTTCCTTATAAGGAATCAGCTATTACTACCATTACCGTATATATATATATATATATATATATATATATATATATATATATATATATATATATATATATATATATATAAGATTAAAATGTCCTTCATTAAAGCCATAATATATATCTTTATCTATATATTCATGATTGCCTGAACAACCTTCTATACTCTTCTCTTCTAAATTCTCTCAGGGAAAATATTTGTTGGTTGCTTTTAAATATTTTCTGGTTGCATTTTATTTCTATTATGATTTTCTTAAAATTTCAATCAAAAGCAATACTGGCTTCTTAGTGAATGACAAATGTTTCCTTATAAGGAAATGGCTAATATTACCATTTATCTTTGGTTTTGTGATTCAAGAGAGGAAAAAGAGGCAACAATTAAGGTGACATTGTAAAAGGGTGGACTTACAAAAAAAGTTGGGAAGAAAAGAAACTAAATTGTTATGCTTTCAGAATATTAGTATGTGTTCATACTTTTTCAGTGACTCTCTTATTTGTGCATTCTAAACATGGTCGTAGAGCAATAAGCCAAAGTAACATTGTTGTTTCAGCTGAATGTATATATATATATATATATATATATATATATATATATATATATATATATATGTGTGTGTGGCATAACCCAAATTAAAAAAAAAAAAAATTATTGACAAAAAAAGACAATAAAAAAAATTGGTAACTATAATGAAAGTGAGATGTCCCTTCCCCCATAAATTTAAACATGCAAGAATTGTAACTATTTACACTATTTACATTGTTTTGACTATTGCTCTCTTCTTTATTACCATATTCATGACGTTTCAGCCATTGTATGCTCCGGCCTTCTTCATGTTGGAATTTTGAACCAAACCCTCCACAAAGGTAGATTGTTCTAATTCCACGTGCCATGCTTTTTCTAGATATCTTGGTTTCAGTTAACTCCCTTTAGTAACTCAACACATGGCCCAGTGGATAAAAAGCGTGGGTTGAAGTAATCCAAAATGTGACTTGACCCAAAGAAATGTGTGTTCAGTATATGGCCACAGCAGAGGGAACAAAACCTTGGAGAAATGAGTTACTAAAGAGAATTAACTGAAATTGAAATATCCAGAAAAGGAATGAGAACAATCTACCCCTGTGGACTAAATAAATGGTTTGGTTCAAAATTCTAATGTATATCATCTGGAGTTGGAGTGTACAATGACTGAAATGTTGTGAATATTGCAATAAAGATGACGACAACAGTCTGAATGATATAAATAGTGTAAATAGTAACAATACCTCAGAAATATAGATACATTCAAGAATTATTTTTGATGCTGCTAAGATTGGCATGAAACAGATGTTGATTTGCTAGCAAAGACCAATCACTACCCTTTGAGAGTATCTTGTGACAGTTCAAAATTGGCACTAGTGTAAAGAATTCTATCTCTTTCTTCAGTTGGATATTGTTGATTAAAGGTGTGAAAATTAGGTTTGTACTACTGAACTGCCTTACTCCCATCAAGCTGCATTGAAAAGGAACTATGGAGGGGAAATGAAATGAGGCATGTGTGTCTCTTCTTTTTGCCCACTGAGTTGGAACAAAAGAAACCCAGAACATCTTTCAAAAACCAGCAAGAGCATAACCAAACTTACTATTATACCTTTTTATTAATTACTGTATTTTATGCTATATAAGATCCTCCTTAATATGCTCTTACTTTTTATTTTAATATACCTCCTTTTTTTTCTTTTTTCTCCTTCTCCCACCCCAACAAAAACATGGCTCAAAAAATATCTTCTAGCCTTATATATTGAGGTGTTTGATATACTAATGTTTCCTTGGATGCCATAGACTAACAATATTATTCTTTCGGGTGATTTTGGTTGAACTTCGTCATGCTTAGCATATTAAGTTTGAATCTGCTTGTTTCTTGCTTAAAATTTGAGAGCAGTGAAATTTTACTATAAAATTATCTAAAAAAGACCTGAGCTTCATGCCATGTTTAATAGAATTGCATTAAAAATGTTTATGCCTGGCTTCATGCTTAAAAGATGTTTTTTTTTAAAATTAATCTAAGCATTGTCAAAATAATAAAAAAACCTTTATACGCTAATAATAAATGTAAATAGAAAGACTTTGTTTTTTTCTTTCTTTTTGGCTTATTTGCTTTTTAGCACTTATTGGCCCTTTTTCGGTTATTTAAATCCAAATTATATTTTGGATTGCAAAAATGATAATTTTTTTTTTGCAAGAGGATATTGCATTAACAATTCTTTGAGATACTGATTTTTTTCAGTTGTAAGTCCTTCTATTTGACTCCTAGCTAGTGAGGGTGGGTGGAGATTGATTCCTACCTTTTCCATGGGTGTTTGTGCATAAGTACATGTAATGAACCTGACTGGAATGTGATCTCGGGCTGCCAAATTCTTCCCTTCTCCATGGTTTGAAATTCAGTTTATTTTCTCTTAGACTCAGTTGCTACCCAAGCAAGGCTAGAGAAGCTAGTCTATTCCATTATTTTTAAACATTAGCTGAAAGGAGAAGTTATAGATTGATATGCCTTTCTTAAGAACATAAATGCAAAAGTGAATGCAACTGACTAGGCTGAAATTTGAAACTCTGTTCACCAGTTTTACATTCTGTGCTAATAAGTCGCACCATCTGCACACCCATGTCTTTTTTTTCTTACATATATTTTACCAATATATATATTTTTTTTTAAATTCATATTTTAAATGCAAATTATTTATGAGAATTTTATTTTGACCAACCAATGGTTTGGCTATTTTTTTTTTTTACTAATGATCATTTAATAGAATGCCCAAGAGCCGCTCAAGGTAGAGGATTATTGAATTAGATTATTATATTAGTGGTAAGAGGTAAGAAGTGAAGTTCATGAGGATATGTGGGAAAGATAATGGTTAACCCAAGACTTGAAGAGGTTAAGATTGTCATGGATGGGAAAGCATCCTCTTGAGAGTCTGTTCCACAAAGTAATGGTTCTTGGGAAGAACCTCTCTGAATGGGACTTCTTCCTTACTAATGGAATGTTAAGAGAATGGGGATGGTGTATGTCTCAGAGTACATGGCATTCTGGGTCTTAGCTGTGAAAATCTGAACTGGTGGAACTGAACTTCAGCAGGTTTGTCTGTTACTTTAAAAACTTAGCAAAACTTGAAAAGCACTTATGAAAAGTTGTAGCTGGTTGTGTTATTTTTAAAGATAACGATTTTAATACTTCTTTTATGGCAAACTGTCACAGTTATTTTTGTAAGTTTTTTTTCTGTTGACTGCATATTTCTGCTTGATTGGTTAAAATTAAGGTCAGCATTGCAAAATGCTAATCCATAGTTCTTAATCTATTATCACTGATTACTACCTGCATGTGAATAGCTGTTGAAAAAAAGATTAGATTTTCACAATTGTCAATAGATATAATTGCTGGTTGATAAGTTAATGATTAGCTTACTGAACAGAAGACCATGTTTTCTGTGTTGTAATTCTAGGTGCAAGGTTGTTAAAGGTTGCAATATTCACTTCAGTAATGTAATTATATGTATGTATGTATGTATGTATGTATTGGTTATGATCAGTGGTGGCATCCTACAGGTTCATATGAACTAATTCTAAAAATTATATAACTTAGCAAACCAGTTGGATTATCTGAAAATAATCTTATATATTAATAGCCCTAGGTAAGATATTAGTTATGGTATACTTGTGAGCACATATGTCGGAAAAAAAATGTGGCAAATCTTCTAGTCATAAATTTGATAGGTCTTCCATTGGATCTTTGGGACTGCAGCGATTCAGTTTGAATGTGGCTAAGAAATCATAAAACATCTGATGACAATAGAGTCAAAAAGCATCATACTTCTGAACAGAGATATGATAAGAATAGAATTTCAATCTGGAAATATCTTAATTTAAAAAGAAAACATTTATTTATTATCAAAATGGTTTAATTCTTTTTGATGCTATAAAGTGACTTGCTTCCATTCTCAGATTGAAAGAAAATAAGCAGAATATGTTCTTAAAGATTACCTGCCTTTATAGAATCGGTTCCTGGAAATTTAGGATGCCACCACTGGATATTATCTTATGTTTATTTATTAAAATTCTGGAATAGAATCCACAAAACCATTGATTCAATTTAGTTGCAGGCGACTATATCAATTTTCTGTCTGAATTTCTGGAATGAGGAACAACCATTCTTTACACTATTTACATGCTGACTACTGTCCTCATCTTTGTTGTTATTATCACCTGATTGCCTTCTGACTGAATTTCAGGAATGAGGAGTTATCATTATTTACACTGTTTACATGCTGACTATTGTCCTTATCTTTGTTGTTATTATCACCTGTTGTTATTTTCAGCTGTTGTGCCATCTGGCCTCCATCAGGTGTATCGATCTGGGTAATTTTCAGGGAATTCCACAGTGAGCCCTTTATTTAATCTACTGGGATTGTAGTGTATCAAAATTATTTTCATTTTTATATGACTATTATACAATTACAAAAGATTGTTCTCATTCCACTGCTTATGTCTAGGGATATTTCATCTAGTTCTTATTTTAATACTGTTCAGTTATTACTTGCCCTCTTTCTACTGAGTCCAAGTACATACTGCCCAGCCCAGGGATTGAACTCACAATTAATGTCACCAAATTCTCAAACAATTTAATTGATTAGGCTAAAAGACAATATATATTTTTTTTAACAAAATTTATATATTTACACTATTTACATGTGGACTATTGTCCTCATTTTTGTTGTTGTTATAATGTTTCAGCCATTTTGTCTCACTGGCCTTCATCAGATATATATGAACTTTTTATTTAATATACAGGAGTAGATTGTGGTTATCAAAACTATTTTCATTTTTGAATGAGTATTGTCATATAAAACTTATATAATAGTGTACATGTTTTCAATGATCTTAGCTCCTTTGAATGTTTTTGAGTGCAAATTTTTGAGTTCTTCTGTGCCTTGGGTTTTAAAGCATCATAATCAATAATTTATAATGAAATAAATGAAATACTAGTATATATAGTGTTATCAGCAGTAGTAGTATTCACATTGGGGACAATACATTGAAAATGGTGGGTGTATACAATATGACTTCTATAGAAAAATATTTTTAAAATTTTGTTGTGACTACTCATTCTTTGGCAATATGTAAATTTAGACTTGAACACACATTCTTTTTTTCCTTGAAGTCAGCCTATGTTTGGCAACTGCTTTATCAAATTGTCTACCAGAACTATCACAGCTGGCAGAAGATCAAATCTAACCCTTAAAACTAAGTCTTCATTTTTCCCCCCCCACAGTTGCTTGATATCATATGTGTCATTGTTTTTATATACATGAGTAATATTAGTAACAATATTATTTTATTTAATAGATAATTGATTTGATAATATATTGATAATGCTTTATCTAAGGAATGCTATCCAGAAATTAATAATTGTTAATAAGTACTTTTTTTACATTTTATTGCAGGTTGTGAAATGAATAATCAAATGTATATATCCGGTGGCCATGATGGTACAGATCTGCTTGATAATGTCATCTGTTATGACCCAACCAGCAAAACATGGAAACCAAGGGCATCGATGCTCCAGCAACGTTCGTGTCATGCCATGGCTGCTGTCAACAGCAAAATCTATGTCCTCGGAGGATGTACTATGCAGCAAGGACTAATTCAGGATATCAAAGTAAATTCTATTTGTGGCTTTTTTTTCTTTTAATTAAATCTTAAATTTATACAAGTAAAAATTATGCAATACAGTTTTGCAATTTTAGAATAGATTTCATAGTTTTAAATAGTTTAAATATTCTATTTACAAATACTTGGTTAACAATATACTTTGACTTAATTGAACTATCATTCTCATTTTTGAGTGTGATAGATGTTATTTGAGATGTTTTGGCCAAGCAACATCTGTTCATCTTTAGGCCTTTCAACATTGTTAGCTATGGTAATAGTAGTATTAGCCATTTCCCTACAAAGAAACATTTGGGATTCATTGACCAAGCAGCCAGCACTGTTTTCGTTTGAAGTTTATAAAATCTTTCTCTTAAAACAATTTTCCAGGAAAACAGGTTTCTCAAGTCCAGTAGCTGTTATTGCTCTTTCCAGTATTGATGGGGATTTCTTTCCTGACTTTTTATTTGAAGTATTGTGGAATGTCAACATCTTGATATGTCATTATTTTCTCTTTGAGTTACATTTGCTATTCATTTTAGTTGTTGCTACTGTTGGCAGCCCTCAAGTGATGTGGCTTCTGTTACTTGGTACTGTTCTTTGTGATTCTGTATCACAAGTTCACAATGTCCAAAGAAAGATGATCTTTGCTGAAACCATCAGGCTTCACTAGCTCAAAGCCTTTTTTAACCATTGATCTTAGAAAGCGGTTGTATACAGATGACTGTTTAAATATTTCTGAAATGGGTTTAGCACCATGCATAGTATGCATATGAAATTCTCGATCTGATGAGGCTATTTAAGAATATGACTTGAGTTTTCAGGTTGATGTTTTGTTTTCTAGCAGTTTTATAGTGTTGGGCAAAACCATCTGTGGCATAGCCTATTCTATGTTCAATTTCCTTATC